TTTACATGAGTACAATGCTTACAAACTTGGAATTCGCAACATGATTTCTACGTATTTTTTTCAACCTTGGAGGTATATATCAAACCATACCATAGAAAGTCTGGAGGGAGGGGGGGGGGGTCTGATGAGTCGAGTTGTATTCAGTCAGGCTATGTTTTCCCGCATGAAAAAGATTGAAAGGAAAGTCTGAGATAGAGGGAGGGGGGAGGGGGTGATAATGCATGACTGAGGATTCTGAAAGCGTGATAAAAAGATAAAGGATTATATTAAAGCATTAACTTATTTTTTCAGTTGGCTGGGTGAATTATTATTGATAGAATGCAGTTATATACTGTTCTCTCTTCCATTATATTGTGTTCTGTCGTGGTTTGGACAGCTCCACTTGCAGAAAATGAAATCGAGTTGGGTAAGCTTTTAAGATCCTCAGCAGTTGAAACCTGAAGTAGATTAATTTATTGTCTTTTTTTGATAACATAAACGCAAAACTCAATGTTTGCTTTCACCTTTTAGTGTTAGAAATATACTATGAAATGTTTGGTGTTTAGAAACGGTTTGCTGGACATCCACTTTGTGGGTGTATATCACGCTTTCGTTGTTATTGAATTTAGTAAAATATCTTACAAAAGGCTTATCATTTTATTTGTGTCTACAGCTAAACGAGCGAAGGAGACCATTATGTATGGTAATCAACAGAATTCTCCACGTAGAGTGAAAAAGAATGATCCTTCGTTAACCAAGGATGTGAGCAACGATGCGGATTTAAAAGGCCATGTAATTGCCATGCCTGCACGCGACGTTCCTGCAGACGCTGTCAAAGAAGATAATTTACCACCAACTGATGTAGAAAGTGATGCGTCAACAGAAGTTCAAGCTTCTGATTCCAACATTCCACTCAAACCTGATACAGAAGATAATAAATCGGACGTAACGGAATCACCCACTGAAGATATAGATCCTGATGTACAAGATATGCTCCAAAGTGACTCTATGGTCAATTCAGAGGAAGACGCCGATGATGAACCAGTTGAAGATTCGGTAAATGTTCCAGCTCTACCTGGTCAGAATGAAGATCAATTGGCAAATTGGTACCACTACCTCTTACAATATGGTAAGAATATAATCTGACTCATTTACCCCTGTGACTTAAAAGGATTGTAAAGAGGTTTCCTATGTTTGTTTGTGTATCAAGGACACTGGTAGCATCAATTTGCCCATTCTTATTCAGGGTTCCTGCAATTCCATTCCGTTTGCTGACGTCACTAATCGCAAAATATGCTTAT